GGGAGGATAAAAGAGGGTTGAGAGAGAGGGAGGGAGAGAGGGAAAGAAATTTCTCCATACATTTGCTCAGTCTGGCCACCACTGTATGAGTCTCTTTAATATTTGATTGCACTGGTGATAGGTTGTTAGAATGATAAAACGTTCCTCAATACCAGAAACAAGTTAGGTATGGCCTGGGTGGTGGCATAAGTAACTGAACGGAAAAGGGATCAAGCCCCTTTCAACTGGTCATCCATAATCACTGGGGACTGAGAAGGTTGTTCAGCTGTCCTGGCCTTGAGGGGAAAGCATGGAACCCTCAGAGTAATCATGTTCATAGTGTTACAGTTAGCTCAGATGCAGAGCTGAGTACTTATATAGCTATGTCCTTATTATACTGCAAACAACACTCATCACAAACTCATTCCTACTGTTATGGATCAGACCAGGTCCCCTCAAAAATATTTTGGAATGGTAGACTAGACCCTAACTTTTTCTTATTATAAAAGTAAATGTAAAATTGTCTCAGATGTAATGCGACTGGCCAAACTGCTTGACATTAAACAAAATACGATTTATTTAAACATTGTAGTTAAAGTACAAACAAAGAAAGAGGAATTTAGAATAACTTAACAGATTGGAAATTTAACAGAATAATAGATAGAGTATTTGTTACTAATTAACTGTTTCAATATAGTGACATCTCATAAACACAGTCCTTGGCAAAAAGGAAAATTCAGACACAGGTTCTCACATGCAGTTCTCCAATACAGGAGGAAAAAAAATCAAGAGAAAATTCAGAGAGAGTAGAGCCAGGAGACATTCACTGAAGCTTCTAACTCTTCTGAGACCCCAACAGCTTTCCATGCAAGTCAAAAAAAATCAAGAAATCTGCATCTGTGAGAGCTGGCCACACCAGCTGTTAAAAAGAAAACCAAGGCCTCCCAAGCTGTTTACTCAAGTTGTCTTCAGTATCTGGTTCGATACCTGTGCCTTACAACATTTCTTCAAAAAAAAACCAGGACAAAATAACCTCTTAACGTGACCGCGTTGTCACACTGCTCTCACTCATTCTCCCTGGAAACTGTTGTTTCACATATTATCATTGATCTCTGCTTCCACTAAAACATAAAGGATTTTACAATCCAGTTATGAGAATTATTATCAGCTTCCTGTCTGCCCTCACAGATGGATGTTAAAGATTCCATGGTATTATTCTGAAGAAGAACAAAGGTTCTCCTGAGATCCTGGCAATATTTACTCTCTAAGCAAGCATTAAAAACTGATCTTCTGCAAGCTTGTAGACACAAAATTGGCTGCTTTGTTTCCAAAATGACAACAGTATCTACATTTCATTGGCTGAGAAGATCTTTAGGTCATTCTGACATCTTGCTCCCCTCTCTCTTTTCCCCACTCCCTCTCCCTCTCACCCCTCTCTCTCCCTCATCTCCCTTTTTCCCTTTGTCTCCCCACTTCCCTTCCCCCCCTTTCACCCTCCTTTCAACCACCCCTTCTCTCCCTCCCTCTCTTTCACACCATCTCCCTCCCTCACCCCCTCTTGCTGACATACCACCTTGTTCTCTAAAAACAGAGCCAATGTGTTTCAGCTTTGCCCTGTTTTCTGAATTTTCTGAATGTGAGCTGATACACTTTCTTCATGGCAATGCCTCAGCCAATCAGAGTCAACTTGCCAACTAGTGGACAGGCTTCTCTCCAGCAGGATAAACCATTGTGATTGGTTGAAATTTGGCAAGAGGAGAAGCTTCAACAACACATCTCCCTTTTCAGCAATCTTCGTATTCAGAAGTCCAAAATGCAAGTTCTTTTCTCTCTGTTACTTCACCCTTTCCAGTCTTGCTTGGGATCTTGCTATATAAACTTCATCCTGCTTCCAAAACAGGTTTGTTTCATGGAGGGCACTATCAGAGAGTGTTGGCTATGGCTTTAGCTTCAGGTTATACAAAACTCAGAGCTGTCCTCCTTGGAGCAAAGTGAAGTTAAGTTGTGGTTTTATAGACGTGGTCAACATGCCAATGGCTTTTGACAGGATAGTTGAGGCAAAAGTGATACCAGTGCAGAAAGGTGAGTGGCTTGAGGGCAATTGGTGATGGGAGCAGAGGCTTTTATCTTTTGCACAGTGATCTGTTGTGGAATAACCATCTGAGAAGGTTTAGAAGCAGATTCTCAATCTCAGTACCTGGAATGTCAGAATTCCCAAGGACAATGAGTGGAACAATCATCCAGGATGAAGAACTGTCCTTGTTCCCATGAACTCAGACACCTCAACATTGATATCACTGCCCTGCAGCAGACTTGAAGAGTGGGTGAAGGGCAGCAGGTAGTGGTTGCACCTTCTTCTGGAGAGGAAAAGCCTAGGATCAGCCTAGGGCACATGGAATTGGATTTGCTATCAAGATCAAACTCATCAACCATCTCTCTGAGCTCCCTGTTGGCATCAAAAATCACCTCATGACTCTCCATCTACAACCTGGCACAAACCAGTAGGCAACAGCCATGAGTGCCCATGCTTCAACTCTTAATGCCACTGATGAATGCAAAGAAACTTTTACTCCACCCTGAACACCATACTCACCAACATCCCTAAGGAAAATAATCCTCCTTGGAGACTTCAATGCCAGGGTTGGAAAGGACACCCAACTCTGGAAAAGAACTATCAGAAAGGAAGAAGTTGGAAATTGCAACACCAGTGGGATTCTCCTGCTCACTAAATGTGTGGAACACTAGCTGGTCATCACTAACACACTGTCCTACCAAAAAGTCAAGTTCAAGACTTCTTGGAGGCATCCACGATCAAAGCTCTGGCACACGATTGCGCCTGTGACCATTCAGTCCTGAGGCCTAAAGGATGTTCTCATTACCAAAGCAATGTCCAGTGCACACACTGCTATACAGACCACAGGCTCATCTTCTGCTCAAGTTCTATCAAATACCACCAGAAGCAGCTGAAGATGAAGGAACAGTTCAGAAAGAAAGCTCAGCATCAAGCAGCTTAAGAACCAAGCAGACTCACGAACCTCCAACAATTTCTTCAACAAAATTTCCAAAGAGTTAGTTTTAATGGAGTGGAGGAAATCTGGAAAGAGCTGAACACAGCCATCATCTCATGCTGTGAAGAAACTGTTGGCTGCAAGGCCAGGAAACACCAAGACTGGTTTGACAAGAATGACCACATCATCCAAGACTTATCGAGAAGAACAGGAGGAAAGCCCTCTGTGCCTTGTAAAACAACATCACCTGTGAAGCACAGAGGAGAACTCATCCAACAGCAAAGGGGGAGTTACAAAGAGGAACTAAGGAAATCACAAACTAATGGTAAACTCAGAGAGCTAAGCAGCTGCAGCTCTTTTCTGATAAGCAAAACACCCGGGGTTCCCTCAGTGCCACCGAGGCAATATATACACCCAACACCCTTGGCCTCAAACTGGTGCAGCATGAGGATGGAACGCTTTTGAGAGACAGAGAAAACATCAGTTTCCAATGGAGAGAACGCTTTAAAGAACTACTGAACTGGGATACAATCGCTGATGAGGATGTGTTTGAGGAAATTCCCCAGTTCCCCAACAGTGATGATCTCAGACTCCCACCCAGTGCAGCAGAAGTTGAAGCCACCATTAGATACATGAAGAATGGAAAAGCTGCAGAGATTTTCAAACTTGGAGGAGCAGAGCTTACTTACCATCACCTGAAGATTTGGGACGAAGAAGAAATCCCAGCCAACCTCAGGGATGCTGCCCTTACCAACGTCTTCAAGAAAGGAGACAAGGTGGATTGTGGGACCTGCAGAGTAATCTCCCTACTCTCCATTGCCGGGATGATCATCTCCCGAATCCTCTCCTTCTCCCAGTCTCTGAGGACATCCTTCCTGAAAGCCAGTGCGGCTTCTGTCAAAACCGTGGAGCTATGGACGTGGTTTTCACTGCTTGGAAATTCCAACAGGAATGTCAGGAACAAAACCAACCACTCTATGTGGCTTTTATTGACCTGGCCAAGGCTTCTGACACAGTCAATCGGGAAATGCTATGGAAAACCCTGTCAAAGGCTGACTGTCCAATGAAAATCATCAACATCCTCCGTCTCCTCCACAACAAGATATCAGTGATGGTCCTCACTGATGGTCATGTGACTGAACCCATTGCTGTCAAGACAGGGGTCAAATAGGATTGTGTCATCGGCCCCCACCCTTTTCTCC